TCTGTGATGCTTCACAGAGGGTCTGCAGCTACTCTTCTGTGTAGATTATCTTTAGCTATTTTTCTTAGGTCTTTTAGCTGCTCGTGCTTATCACGTGTTCTTGTCTGTAATTTGTTTTGATCGAACGGCTTGGATTTATTTACTTTAGGTCGTGTCAGAAAAACGGTTACTTGCTTGTATAAATAGCAGCGTAGGCCTTTGTAATTAGGTGTGCWTCCAGTATTGTAACTGTCAATATTTTCATCAATTGAAAATCCTTTGAAGCTTTCTCCTATGTTCATCATTAATCTTCATCGTGTTCTTATCGATTTCTACTTGTTTGATTTATCATCTTTTCCACTGCATTATATCTGTCAAACCAATCATTCAAGTAAGTAATATTAACCAAGAAATAGAGATATTCAGTCCTAACAGTTATAGTACTAATTCAGCGGTGGTCCAAATTCCACATGATTAGACCAAGAAAACGTAGGTAGAGTGCACCCCTTTCTGGGTGGGACTGTCAATACAATAGCGGCTATCCACAATACCACGACCCGGGGACATGCCCGAGTTAACAAGTAGCATTTACGGACGGGGACATTATTTGGAAACATACTCCCAAGCACATCAATTTAGCATTTATTCCATAGTGCAAAAATAATTAACAAATCATAACATAGTAAACCCGACTAAGCTGTTCCTTAGTCCAAAGGTTTAAAACAGAGCTTGACTAAGCAGTTCCTTAGCCCAAAGATTTCAATAAAAACCATGTATAGTTTGTTTATTCTCATGCCTTTCCTCCAAACAAATAGTTAAAGCATTAAAAGTGGGGCCATGAGGACTCATTGTTTAAAGGCGAATATCCAAGATGATGACGTCTGCAGCTTTCAACGCCCGCCCTATCTTGAAGTCTTGGAGGAACTTCGAGATTAAGAAAGAATTTCAAAGGACTTGCACGAAGGTGAAATCAACTAGAGAGCGTTTGGTTTTTAGAGAGAGAGAATGTTTAGAGAAATTTCAAGCAGACTATTCATGCAAATGGGAGTTCTTCATGGATGAGGGGTATTTATATGAGGATTTAAATAAAGTGAATGGGCTGGCCAACAAGGCCCAAACCGAATAAAACCTTTATTTTCCCAAAAGAATAAGCCCACTAAAACCTTTACCCAAAAATAAAATGGCTTTATAAAACCCAAAACTCCATCTTTTGATAAAACAAGTGGACATTCAAATGGAACTTTTGCAATTTAATTTAAGGAAAACTCATAACATCAACTTTATTTTTTATCTAGAGTATTTTCAAAAATATTTGGCATTGCATAAGATAACTTTATCTGATCTCCTACCAAAGCGCGACCTTCCCAACAAAATTTAGGAGCTAAAACCAGAAAGGTTCTAATCACTAAGATTAGATCCTAGAGAAAAATAATTTCTAAATATAGGATCTGCAATGGGGTGCTAACCTGAAGCTCAGAAGTGACGGGATGTCACAGTCTTCCCATGTCAGAGAAATTTCGTCCCGAAATTTATTTGTCTACTCCAAATCAAGGCTTGTTAGGGAACAAAGGTGGATACTTGCTTCTCATGGAATCTTCTCTTTCCCACGTATATTCTGGTCCATGCCGCGAAGTCCAATGAACTTTTACAATTGGGATTTTTTTGTGCCTCAACTGCTTAACCTTACGGTCGAGGATTTCGATCGACTCCTCAATAAAACGTAGCCGTTCATTAATTTTAATATCTTCCAGATGTAGAACTAAAGACTCATCGGCTAAACACTTCTTAAGATTCGACACATGAAATGTATCATGGATGGCACTAAGCTTCGGGGGTAAGTTGAGTTTGTATGCAACTGGTCCTACTCTTTCGAGTATTTYGAATGGACCGACATACCTTGGACTAAGCTTTCCTTTCTTTYMGAAGCGCACAACCCCTTTCCAYGGTGATACTTTTRAAAGGACTTTATCACCCACTTGAAATTCCAAGGGTTTCCTTCGGTTATCGGCATAGCTCTTCTGACGATCCCTTGCAGCTTTAAGTTTTTCTTGGATGATTGGGATTTTTTCAGTTGTCTCCTAGATAATGTCAGGCATGGTCAGTTGCCTATCGCTAATTTCCTGCTAACTGAGTGGGGATCTACATTTTCGTCCATATAAGGCTTCAAAAGGTGCACATTGGATACTAGTGTGATAGCTATTATTGTAGGAAAATTCGACCAATGGTAGATGGGTATCCCAACTACCTCTGAAGTCTATCACACAGGCTCGCAACATATCCTCTAGTGTTTGAATTGTCCTCTTCGTTCGTCCATCCATTTGAGGATGATATGAAGTGCTTAAATCCAATCTCGTGCCTAGTGCCCTTTGAACCGATTGCCATAACCTGGAAGGAAAGCGGTTGTCTCTATCTGAGATGATAAAAACAGGTACTCCATGCCACGACACAATCTCATTGACATATAACTGCGCTAGCCTTTCCATACTGAAATCTTCTCGAATAGGCAAAAAGTGCACGGATTTCGTAAGTCGATCCACTATGACCCAAACTGAGTCATATCCCTTCCTTCTTCTTGGTAACTTTGTAACGAAATCCATTGAAATTTGATCCCATTTCCATTGGGGAATCTTTGGTTGCTGAAGAAGACCAGATGGTTTCTGAGGTTCAGCTTTTACTCTTGTACAGGTCATACACCGACTTACATACAAGGCAACGTCTCTTTTAATTCATGGCCACCAGTAATATTCTCTTATCCCTTTGTACATCTTATCGGATCCTGGGTGAATCGAATATTTGAAACGATTGGCTTCCTTCATAATTGTAGACCGGAGGCTGTCGCTCCTTGGTATCCAAACTCTATCCTTGAAGTAACGCACTCCATCCGCTCGAGTTTCGAATTCCTTCTCTAAGTGATACAGGGTCTCATTCTTCAGATTCTCTGATTTCAATGCCTCATGTTGAGCTTCGAGAATTTGCGTCAACATTCCCATGGCTCGTACCCTTGACGGTTTCACCCTTTCCTTCCGGCTTAAGGCGTCGGCTACCACATTAGCTTTTCCTGGGTGATACTTTATTTCACAATCATAATCGTTGAGAAGTTCGACCCACCTCCGTTGCCTCATGTTCAGCATCTTTTGATTCAGAATATGTTGAAAGCTTTTATGATCAGTGAAAATGATGCATTTGGTGCCGTAAAGATAGTGCCTCCAGATTTTAAGTGCAAACACCACTGCCCCCAACTCGAGGTCATGCGTAGTGTAATTATTTTCGTGCACTTTGAGTTGCCTTGATGCATACGCAATGACTTTGTCTATTTGTATTAGCACGCATCCTAAGCCTTGATGCGATGCATCACAGTAGACCACAAAATTTTCCGAACCCTTAGGTACGGCTAAGATCGGTGCATGACATAGCCTCTGCTTAAGAGTCTCAAACGCTTCTTCCTGTTTCTCACTCCAAACAAACTTCTTGTCCTTCTTGGTTAAGGCAGTGAGTGGTTGCTCAATTTTTGAGAAATTTGCAATGAATCTTCGATAATAGCCTGCCAAACCAAGAAACTGTCGAATCTTTGTTGGGGTTCTTAGGGTCTTCCAATTCTTAATGGCCTCGACCTTGGCAGGATCCACCTGAATCCCTCTTTCATTAACTATGTGCACAAGAAATTGTACTTCCCGAATCCAAAATTCACACTTGGAAAATTTTGCGTACAATTTCTGGCCCCGGAGTAGCTCCAATATTAACCTCAGGTGTTGTTCATGATCCTCCTTACTTGGAGAATAGATCAGTATATCATCTATGAAAACAATTACGAATTTATCCAAGTAGGGTCTGCAGACTCTATTCATTAAATCCATAAAGACGGCCGGTGCATTAGTTAGTCCAAATGGCATAACCATAAATTCGTAGCGACCGTACCGGGTTCTGAAGGTTGTTTTGGGAATGTCCTCTTCCCGCACTCTTACTTGGTGATATCCAGACCGTAGGTCAATCTTGGAAAAGTATACTTCACCTTGGAGTTGATCAAACAGGTCATCGATTCGAGGAAGGGGGTATCTATTCTTGATGGTCAACTTATTAAGTTCCCTATAATCAATGCACATTCGCATTGACCCATCTTTCTTTTTGGAGAATAGAACCGGCACACCCCATGGTGAGTAACTTGGTCTTATAAATCCCATGTCTAACAACTCCTGGAGTTGTTTTGACATTTCCTGCATCTCCGCAGGTGCCAGACAATATGGTGCCTTTGCCACTGGGGCAGCCCCAGGGATCAAGTTGATACCGAATTCGATTTGTCTTTGCGGGGGTAACCCTGGTAAATCTTTGGGAAATACATCGGGAAACTCCCGAACTACAGGGACCTCGCCAATATCTTCTTCCTTGCCCTTCCTATCAATAACATGCGTTAGGAATGCAATATACTTCTTCCTCAAGTACCTCCGTATTTTTGTGCAAAATACTATCTTAGTTTTTCGATTCGACGTGTCTCCTTGAATCTCTATTGGGTTATTTCCCTCTTGAGGAATCCGGATAACCTTTTCTAAACAGACAATTTCAGCTCAATTTTTGGATAGCCAATCCATGCCTACAACTATGTCGAAGCTTCCTAACCTGATAGGAATAAGGTCTATGCTAAAATCCTTATTGGCTAAACTTAGTGTACAATCCTTGATTATATTTCTAGCCCTAAATTCTTGGCCATTGGCAAACTCAACTACATAAGCTTCTTTCAGCCTCTGGGATTTTAGGTTAATCTTCTGCTTAAAATCCAGGGATACAAAACTTCTATCCGCTCCCGAATCAAATAGAACTTACGTGAATTCATTATTCAAAAGGAACATACCTGAGACCATATTGGGATCATCTCTAGCTTCTTTGGCCCCGATTTCAAATGCTCTGCCCCGTGTCTGACTCTCTGGGTTCCCTTGACTGATCGTTCGGGCTTGGCCTGCATTGGGTCCTTGTTTCCTTTTCGGGCAAACGTTCCTCATGTGATCTGGACTTCCACAATCGAAGCACAATCATTTCCGAAAATCCTTTGCTGTATGACCCCCGAGATGGCACCTTTGACAAGTGAAGTAGTTTCCCCAGTGCGGGTATTTGTATCTATTGCACTTGGCCTTATCTCTTTGATTCACCTTCTGAGTCTGTGCTCCGAAATTTCCTATCGTTCTCCTATTCTTGTCATATTTTCCCCCAAGTCTTCGATTTCCATACTCCTTCACCTTTCTTTTCCCCTTGGAAAATTCTCCTGAACGAACCGCGTTAGTCGTGAGTTTGGTTGCAATAATGATGGCTTCTTTAAGCGTCTTCGGGTTGGCCGAGGTGATGTTTCCCCTAATTTCTGGTGACAACCCCCAAATATACCTCTCAATGCGAACTTCCTCTGGTGTCATTAGGTGTGGCACTAGATTTGCCAACTCATGGAATCGAGCCGTATACACAGCTATATCATCCCCTTTCATTTCGTGATTCCATAACTCCATTTCTAGCTTCTGGAGTTTGCTTCTGGGGCAGTATTCGGCCTTGAGGAGTTTCTTGAACTCCTCCCATGGTAGTTGATTAGCCACTTCTCGACCTCTGGCCTGTACCAATGCATTCCACCAGGTGAGTGCCCTTCCTTGCAACAAACAAGCTGCATATTCTACTTTGTTTGTTTCAGAGCACTTGCTAATATGGAGGACGGATTCCATACTCTCTATCCATGTCAATAATCCTACAGCCCCATCAGTCCCACGGAATTCTTTTGGATTGCAAGATCTGAAGGACTTGTAAGTGCATTCTCTGGGTGGTCTAGGTTCAGGGTTTGATGATTGGTTCGCATTAAGCCCTGCCGCCACTTGACTGACAATGTTGGGTAATGCGGCCAATAGTTGCTCTGACACAAGTCGTGCAACTTCGGGGTTCTCTCTTCTTGGTGGCATTTTCTATGGCCTAAATCAGAAGGGAGTTCATCATTAATATAGCAATACTATGACGATATCTTCCAGTTATTCAATATGATGTAAGGGGCATTCATCGCATGGAGAGACATTCAAGCATTTATGTAGCCACATAGCTTAAATTCATACACATTAAGGCTTGTCATAAATGAGCTCTTCTCAAAAAGATGTCATGTATTCATAGATGATTATAATCATAAAAACAAAACCTCACATGACTAAGCAAAAGAGTGGGTATTTTATCCCTAATTTTTATCCTAGAATAACATCCATCCTATCGCTATTCCCAACATCAATACCATCATTCCACAAACTACCAACCATCTATACAACTTCCTAATTTCCCGCCTGGCTGCGACAGCAGCATCCGTGTTCCTTATTATGCTCTGGTGGTGTGCTTCCATCACATCGGACAGGTTGTTTAGGATGTGGTGGTGGTATCTCAGCCGGGTCTGGTGCATTTGCGTATCTGATACATTTCTCTGCACCCATTCTCGTTCAGCTGAGTTCATACCCTGGGATAGGATGCAGGCATTCCAGTCACTATTTGGGATAGCCTGTGCCCCTGCGATGGTCGTGATTGCTCTCCTCTTACTCTAGAGGAATTCTCAAATGTCACTCGTCGAGGCAGAGGAACGCTCTTCCTTGGCGTGACTCTGATACTTGAGCCATGATAGGTTCGTGGTGGAACGTCGGGTGCTGGCTCTGATGGGGGTAAGAAAGATGCTGGTGGAAAGGCAGATGTTCCACTGGTTGTAGTGCCCTGCACATACGGATCTATCTCTTCATCATGGGCTAAGTTCCTTCTAGAGTGGCCAACCACGTAGCCAGATTCATCGACTGAGTATTCACTAGAATCGGATGACGCCATAGTGATCTGCGTCATTAATAATCTTAATTACTAAATGAGTCATCTATAAATTCTTAGAGATACAGCCAAATCTTCTAAACAAGGCTAAGAGTGGAAATCAAACTAGACTCTCAAAATATAAAGCCTCTAGTTGTGCTACCAGAGTCTCTGGTTTCATGACCAGAGCCTCTGGTCTCATGACCATAGCTTTTGGTTCAACTAAAATCCTTAGGAAAGGATTTCTCATCCATCGGTCCTCTGGCAAATCAATGGAATTCTAATTTATCATCCGCTAGTTCAACATCTACACTTAAAATAATTATGGAATTTTCGTCCATCGATCCTCTAGTTCCTCATAATGCACTTACCAGAGCTTCTGGTTACAAGACCAGAGCCTCTGGTTCCATTTTCATACGTAGAAAAATACTAAGCAACCTATCCATCGGTCTCTGGTTTCCTTCCCAACAATGCTTCTGGTGTATTTATGAAAAATAAATCTAAAGAATTCCCATTCCTTTGCCTYTGGTCCTTCTAACCAATGCTTCTAGTACCACATACACACTTTATAGATTTATGGGATTTCTATCCCATTGCCTCTGGTACTTCTAACCAGAGCTTCTGGTCCAACATGGACACTTAACAAGATAAGGGTTTTTCTACCCAACGTCTCTGGTCTTTCTAGGGCAATGGATATTCATAGTGAGTATAATGCATAAATTTGTGCTTTTCATAACAATTTCTTTATGGGAGCATATCTCAAGTACATCCGATTAAGTCCTTCTTATTATATGTAAGTTAAACACAGGTGATCAGGCTTTGTTTAATCAACATATAATAATGTGACCCGCTTTCAATTCATATGATTCCAAATTCTTGAATATTCCATTTTGAAAATTTTTGGTTATAGTCGATGGTTTCTTAAGGAAAACCAGCGTTCTCTATAACTGAAGCTCTGATACCAAATCTGTCATACCCCGCTAAAGCGGAAACGCGAGATGTAACAGGCAAGCGTGTCACAGAAACAATTAATAAATAACACCTTTAAGTTTTACAAAATAAAACTAGTTTAATAACATAACCAAACTTTTTATAAACCCTTTATTTACAAAACTTCTGACTCGAACTAAATCAGCTTTGCCACGAGTATGCTCCTATAGTACAACGTATCTTACTTGTTTCCTGAAAAGCATGGAACATAAAACGAATCAACTACAAAGAGTTGGTGAGCTCACAGGTTTTCACGTGCATAAAACATTTTAATGCATAAACCAAATATTTGCAAACTTATGCGAAACTTTTGCTATTGATAAATGTAAATCTTTCACGATGTAAAAACTTGAGATGCTACTGAGCCTTACCTGACCAACTTGCCCCATTAATTTACAAACAACCTTAAGTAGTTCGTACACTACTTAGGTCCCACAGTTCGTTATAGTACTAATTCAGCGGTGGTCCAAATTCCACATGATTAGACCAAGAAAACATAGGTAGAGTGCACCCCTTTCTGGGTGGGACTGTCAACACAATAGCGGCTATCCACAATACCACGGCCCGGGGACATGCCCGAGTTAACAAGTAGCGTTTACGGA